ATATGTTATGCCCTCTTGGTGCCCTGCAGAGGACCAGAGCTTGCATGTCCTTCTGGAGCTCAAGCCCGCTGCTGCCCCTGCAACACTCTACTCCTGGCTTCAGAATCACCATTGAATACAATGAGTCACATGAACACAGGTTCCACAACACCACAATGATTTTAATGACTAATGTGGCTGATTGATGACTAACAGGAGGATAACATATACAGAATAGATACACTGGGCCTAGGGATAACTCATGTGCCAAATAAGAGGCAGGAGATTTCATACTCTTCTGGGAAGAGTACAAGTTGAAACTTAGGGATTGTCTATTTCTGGAATTTTCCATTTAATATGTTTAGCCTCGGGTCACTGAAACCACAGAAAAGTAAAACTGCCGATAAAGAAAGGCAGCTGTGTCCAGATAGTAATAAGTACATTTGTGTCCAGGAAAATTATGTTTAAAGCTTGCTAAAATCATCTGCAATTCTCTGACAAAAGGCTAGTTAACAGATACCCTCTGGCTTTTGTCCCCCAAACCAAGGCCAAGGCTGTAGCTCTTTCAAAGCAGTTCCTTTCCTTGAGGAAACCTGGAGGACTCTCGCTCTCTCTCCCTCTCTGCCCCCCCCCCCCATCTGCCCTGTCTCTCCTGTCATTTCTTCACTTATTCCCTTCACTTGCTTGTGCCTGTCTACCAGAACCCTAGCCTCCCTCCTGGGCCCTGGCTTTTGACTTCTTTTCCTTCAGGGCCCAGCTGTTCTGTCTCACTCATTCAAAGCCGCCAAGGCAGCTTATTCTGTTGCTGCTCCACAGTGACCATTATGGGGTCCATTAGGTTGTCCTAGAGCCTGCAGCTTGTGGGTAAGATGGGCGGGTGTGGGACAGGGCTAACAGCCACTGGCTGATCTCCAGAGCCCAAGCTCCTCGCTGTACCACTCTGTGATGACATCTTTTCAAGGGGACCCATCTCTTCTAAAATACAACCTCCAAACACTTATTCACTCCAAGGCCAAGGGTGTGGCACTGCAAGGAAAGCCACAGAGCCAAAAGGCAGAGAAAGCAGTGACGGCCCACACTCATCACAAATCCATGTGCCTTCCTCCTGAGAGGAGTGCCTTGTTAGGACCTAGAACTTCTTTACAGATAACTCCAACAGGTTCTGCTATCAGGTCTTCCAAGCCAACGAGCACTAGAACTTGGAGAAGGGACAGCTAAGGACATCTGCCCTGCGAGAGGACACAGCCTAGTCTGAGACTAAGACAGAAAACGTATCAGCTGTGGACAGGGGAAGGGAGTCTCAGTACTGCCAGCAGCTATTGGGGTGTGCTTGCTGCCCTGTGGGCACTGCTGGGCAGGGACAGGGTCCAGGAGAGCTATGCAGGCTGGAAAGAAGTTGGGACAAGATAAGAGCTCTAATAAAGTCAGGAAGCAGGACACACACTTTAAAAAACAATTAGGATGATCCTTAGGAATCATCCTAAGATGATTTCCAGGGACTTGGGGAGTCCCTGGAAAGATTCTGAATAAGCGAGGTTTTCCTGTGGAAGAGAAGTCAGTGGACTGGAAAAGTCTTAGACACCAGCACTGAGCAGGTTTCTCATTTACCAACGTGAAGAAGCAGCCTGTGGCTTAGCTCTGTGCAAGAGCCTTCTCAGTGTGCTCATCGATTGCCCCAGGCTAAGTCAGGCTTTGAGCACAGTACCTAGGAATAGGAGGAGTCACCAGAAATCCTGGTTGTTGATGTGACACGCCAAGCTAGCTAGGTTGGCAACTGGCATTTAAGCTTGACAACAAGTCTACAAGGTGGGGATTTACATAACCGTGTTTTTCATTTAGATGAAAAGAATAAAGCCGAGAGGGGTTGCATAATCTTCCTAGGGTGGCCAGCCCTGGAACTCTCACTCCACCTACCCGACTGGGCTACCTCTGTCTTCACAGCCTATATCCAGCGCCCCTGGCTCACATATAAGAGTCCAGGGAGGGCACCTGAATTGATTTAAGTGAGAAAACAGCACAGAGACAATCGCACACTGAAGCTGAGTCTTCAGCTGGCACCGATTATAGCCAGTACTGGGACAAAGACTGTGAATGAAAGTTAGAGATGTGTGCCAGCCAGTGCTTTCTAGACACTGAATGGTCTGCTCCCCACTGCTTTCTAGTTGGCCCACCTTATACAGCATGTTACCTAGCCAGCCTTAGCCTCATCTATGCTTCAGTACCCTGCCTCTGGCCTTGCAGTGTGACTTCAGACACGTTCTTCAACCTCTCTGAGTTCACTCACCTTAAAGTTAAACACAGCCAGTGTATACCCCATAGTACTGTTGCAGAGCTCAGAGGAGAATGAAAATGCAACCTGTGAAGCACCTGGAGTGTAGGAGATTCTCTGCTTCTGCCTGAAGCTCCTCCTCTCACTCTTGGGTGATTGGTATCCGGAGAAAGTTGTCCTACCTCTGTGTAGCAGTGAGCCTTCCGAAAGATGCGACGTCCAAACTGGTGTTATGGGATGTCACACACCAAAGAAACAGAGAACACACTGTTGCTACCAGCCTCCGAGGAAAAGAATCATGGTCTCATCAACTCTTCAGCAGCAGGGGGTGGAGGTCATAGGGTGGGAGAGGAACTGTTCCCTACAATTTCCATGTCTCATGTCTGATGTGGGGTTCCCTCCTGGCAGACAAAGGAAAGTACAACCCTGTCCCCAGTCTAACTCACAGAGGCCTAAGAAGGAAACCAGAAAGGTACTAGATATCCACAGCAGCATCTCAGCCATGCTCATTCCTCCGAGAGGGCAGTGGCTTTCCAAGAAAGGCTTCAAGCCACTCATAGTAGAAGACATTCTATGGTCTCTGGGAGCATTAGTGACCATGACCAGCTGAGAAGTGAGCTTGGGGACAAGATCTAGGTCTCTGCCTCCCAAGAAATGGTCACAGACATGAACAACGTCAACTCAAGCCAATGAAATTTCCAATTTCCACGGGACAAAAAAGAATGAAGAGATAGGGGGCAGGCGCCTTTGTTGTGGCTATTTTGGGTTATTTGAACAAAGCTCAAAACTGAATGACAACAGAGAGCCTATCAGGAAAGCCAGCAGATTCCACCCCTACCTCTTCACTTTTACCAAGCTCCAGCCAGCCAGCCTCAGACTTCATGCCTTTCAACTATGCTGCCCACCGTATTCCCACATGCTGTTGCATTAGCTCGTCATTATTAAATGGCACTTCCCATTATGGCAGATAAGGACTATGTTCTCTCATCCCCCACGGCACCTTCCTCCATTCTCCAGTAAGAGACTAACTGTATATGGGGTCCCTGTGTGACTGCAGGTACGTATGTGCCACAGCGTATGTGTGGAGGTCAGAGGACAATTTTAAGAAAATAGCTCTTTCCTTCCACCTTGTTTAAGGCAGGGTCTCTCTTGCTTCTGCCACTGTGTGATATGACAGCCCAGATGACCTGAGAGCTTCCAGATGACCCTGTCTCTGCCTCCCATCTCCCCTATAAGAGTCCTGGGATTACAGACGCACGCTACCAAATCTGGCTTTTTACAAGGATTCCGAGAATCCAAACTTGTATCTTCAGGCCGGCTGGCACATTTATCCTCCAAGCCATCTCCTTAGCATCCTCAACTTTTGAGGGGGTTGTTGGTTGGTTGGTTTTCGGGACAGGGTTTCTCTGTGTAGCCTTGGCTATCCTGGGCTCACTTTGTAGATGAGGCTGGCCTCAAGTGCACAGAAATCCACCTGCCTCTGCCTCCCCAAGTACTGGAATTACAGGCACCTGGCTAGCCCCAACTTTTTAAAATTCAGTAATCAAAAGAAAACTCTTAATGTGATTATATAAATATTGCTGACTTCCAATGACACGTACTTTACTATATTTAAATGTCCTTTGCAGCTCAATTGTTTCCCCTGCAGTCAAAACTGCCCTTGATCTGTCACTTTAAAAGGCATTTTAAGTTAAAAGTTCAACTCCTCACTTTCTGCCACAGTCCATCCAACTAGTGACTATTGAGCACCTACTTTTCCATGTTATTATGCTGTGGGCAGTCCAAAAATTTTATGAAAAGACTGAAGAGGTGGCTATAAAAACTCAGCAAACTACAGTCCACACCTAATCCTAGCCTTGCTCTGAGAACCCTACAGTGTTTGGAATTAACTAAAGCCACAATCCCAGCCTTGCCCTGAGTGCTTTACAATGTACGGAATTAATAGCGTCCACAGGGAACAAGCAGAGGCCAGGACCACGGGAATGTTGTCTGGAGGGCACTGGGCCTGAACTTGGCTTTGAAGTCTGCTCCAAATGTACAGCCAGAGATGAAAACAGAATGTTCCAAGTGGGAACATAGCAGAGCATAGGTGGTGAGAAAGGAGAACACTGGGAGTGGAAAAATTCAGAAGGATGGGGCGGGTGTAGGGAGGAGACAATGTGACAAGAAGGGAGGCTTAACCAAAGTGACGGACAATCCTGGCAGAAGCCTAATTTTCAGTTTTTGAGACAGGGTTTCTCTGTGCAGCTCTAGCTCTCCCGGAAGTCACTCTGTAGAGCATGCTGGCAGATAATCCGCCTGCCTCTGCCTCTCAAGTGCTGGGGTTAAAGGTGTGTGCCACCACACCTGGTAGAGTTAATATTTTTTTATTATTTTTTAATTATTATTTTTTTATTTTTCAATTTATTTATTTACTTATTCTTTCTGAAACCAGCTTAACTCACTTTTAATAAATACAACAGTTTCCATTTACATCTCTTTTCCTAAAAACAACTTAACTTTACTCTTCTTCATGTCATAAACATTGTCACTGTGTAATATTTTTAAGGAACCAACTCTTTTAGCTAGTGGTAGAGTGCTTGCCTAGCATGGGAAAGGCCCTGGGTTTGATCCCAGAACTAAAGAAATAAGGAAAGGAAATAACCAGCTATTGGAATAAACCTCAGCTCCCTGCTCCTCTGGCTGTCAGAACATAGTGTGCTGGCCATGGCTCTTTCCCAGCTGGTGACTGACCTTCCTGGCCTCCCCACAGGTGGCAGCTGAGTACTTCAAGAACACAACGCTGCTGCTGGTAGGCGTCATCTGCGTGGCAGCAGCAGTGGAGAAGTGGAACTTGCACAAGCGCATCGCCCTGCGCATGGTCTTGATGGCCGGAGCCAAGCCGGGCATGTGAGTCACATGTGGGGCGCTGGGGCAGTGGCCTGAGTCACAGCAGGATGAGAACTTGAGCCCCTCTGTGAGTGGGGAGATGACATCAGAACCATGGACCCTTAGCTCCCGCATCTATGAAAGAGATCCGATAACCATGAAATTCGGATTTGAGCAGTAGCCCCGCTGCTACTGTCACCTGAATCTAAAGAATTCTTTTGACAATCTGGGCTGCAAGGACAGCAGGTTTGCGACACCTGAGGGCTTTGTTAGAAAGAACAAAATGGACCAACAGAGTCAGTTTCCCAATTTTTCCCTGTAGATTGGGGTGCACCCAGGATAAAGAATTGGATGGTTTTTCCATTGTCATTGAAGATACGGGCATCGCTTCCCATCTGCTGTGCGGCTGGGGTGCTGTATCTGACCATGCCCTCACACATTCCCTCTTTCTCCTTCCACTCTGCCATCAAGAGGCCCACAAAGCGGGGGTTCTCACCTCACAGAATATGTGGGGGCATCAAGGTGGACAGTTCTGTGTGAGCCTCGCTCCTTCTGCCCCCGATCTCCTGTGTTCCTCTTCCCTCTCTCGACTACTAGTTCACAGCATCTTATGTAAGCTGCCTCACCAGTTGGAAGGGCAAACTATTAAAAAAAAGTGGCTTTTTTTGGCATTAGTCTTTTACACTAGTATGTTGGAACTGTAAAGCACGTTCCTAGCTCCGGCTGCTGAGTGGAGTTGCTAACTATAGCTGAGTCCACGCAGGCCCCACAGCCAACTGCCCACTCAGCTTCCTGGGCACACAGGGGCATTTCTTCCATTGAGTTGGGACCTTGTGGTTCCTTTGTTTTTGTTCTGTTCGGTTTTGTTTGTGGTAGTGGGGGAGGGGAGTGAGTGAAGCAAACCCAGGTCCTTGCCCTAAGCCATCACTCTAGCCCAGAGTCGTGCCTCCAACCCCTGCACAGCACTCAAAAACTTTATACTCTCCACAGGAGTTTTCAGCCATTTGTGTCTCCCTTCTTCCCTGTTTACCACACTACCCAGCAAGTTTACACCCGCATGGTATGCTACCATTGGGTGTGCAAAACCTGAGAACTGTGTTGCTGTCACCTCAAAAAAAACACTGGCCAGGACTCTGCCCTGCCCGGGCACAATCCACACACATGCCGTGCCCAGACTGTGCAGAGTTGTCTAAAATATAAGCAAGGTATCTTTGTGTCGGCCTCTCTTGGGCAACGTGCCGCAGGTCCACCCAGGCACAGTGTGCAGCGTGCTCCAAAGTAAAAGGGAGATCATTTGAAGTTTATCTTTGTTCTGTGTTCCTCCAAGCTTGAGTCTTTCAGAGGTCAGCGAGACACTCACACAAGCGGGGACAGGGGACACTTGTGTGTATTACAGCCATCCTTGCAGTAGTGGGGAGCACTAAGTGCCAGGCATTCATCTCTGTTTGCTCCAGAGCAAGGGGTTCCCTAGACCTGCTGGCTGCAGGGAAGAGATCCCATTATCCATAAGAGACACGTCACAGAGCTCCCCCTAATGTCCAGAGAGAAGAGCAGCCATGGAGTCCATAGCCTGGGGCCTTTCTATCGCAGCTTTTTTCCTGGCCACTAGCCTCTAGCCTCGACTTGCGGCCAGTGCTGAACTAAAGGCTTCTGCTGCACCAGGCACGGGGAGGTTGAAGCCGCCTGGGTCACAGAGCACGGTGCATCAGGGTCACGCTTCGCCCTTACTGCCCCGCCTGCCAGGCTGCTGCTGTGCTTCATGTGCTGCACCACCATGCTGTCCATGTGGCTCTCCAACACCTCCACCACGGCCATGGTGATGCCCATCGTGGAGGCCGTGCTGCAGGAGCTCATCGACGCCGAGGAGGAACAGCTGGTGGCGGGCAACTCCAGCAGTGAGGAGGCGGAGGGCCTGGGTACAGTTCTCCGGATCTCACCTCCCCTTGGCTCCTCCACCCTCATCCCTGACTCCCTGCCAGGCTCCACTTGTAACACTGCCCACCCTGGTGCCCATCACCTCATCTTCAGTCTACCTCTTAGCCATGCCAGCTGAAATAACTCAAACTACCCTCCACCCAGTCCCACTCTTCCTTCCTGCTTTGCTTACTGGTAGCCCCACTTCTCTTTGTCCCAAGTGCTCAGGCATTATTACAACACTCTGGGGTCTGTCTGCATCTACAGCCCCACTCACTATACCTTCAGACCAGAGAGAAAGGCAGAGACCATCTATCACACCTCTACCCCTGCCCTGAGCCCCTGGACTTCCACACATAGGGTCCACTCCACCCTCAGTTTTCACTTCCTGTGTTTCTTTACCACTGTAGGTCTTGACATAAACAATGGACAAACTTCTGTGGAACTCATCTTTGTCAATGAAGAGTGAGTATGACCATCTTCTTGGCAGACAGAGCCTCTTGGGCCTGTTGGAGAGGACAGGAAACATAGAACCAAATGCATTTTCTTTAGATATGTGTACCAAGCTCACGCCTTGTCTCCATCCATGGGATCTGCTTCACAAGATCTTGAGGGAGTCTGCCTTAATTGCAGAACACTTGAAAATGAGGAAGAATAAAACGACCAATGCTAAATCTGAACCTATGTAAAAGCAGCCCTGTGGCTGCCGAGGAAAATTTCATCTGTTCTGATGTGCTTAGAATACTGGGGGACAGTTAGTGACAGGAGTAAGACACTCTAGAAAGGCAAATCTAGAAAAGGAGAAATAGAGTCTTGAGTACTCATATGTCGTCGAGTCCATTAACAGCTGACTTCTTTCCTGGGTAGGAAGGTAGGTAGGTAGATAGATAGATAGATAGATAGATAGATAGATAGATAGATAGATAGATAGATAGATAGACAGAGAGAGATACAGACAGACAGACGGTCTTAAAAATTCCGTGGTGAATACCACACATTTAACAGTGGTGTTTTGCAATGGCTCTTTGTAAGTTGCCTGTTTAACTTTTTAAAAAGGGAGAGCTCACACTGAGTGAAGTCTACCTAGATGGCTGGACAGTCAGAGCGGACCCAGCAGGAAATGTTTTCATCTCTGTCTGCCACTGTCTTCCATCATCCCCTCTGTTCTTTCTGCTTCACTTTTGCTGGTATCTCAAGCAGATGCCACAGCTTTTCTGCATTCAGAGAGACAGAATGACCTCATTTGCAGACCCTCAGCAGTCTAGTCCAGGTTCCTATCAAAACTCTGATCTGTTTCCAAAGCCTCCTTTGGCCTTTCCTCGGGCCCACACCTGTTCCCTCTAGGCCTAATCCTGCAGAAGAAGAGATGAGAGTTGGTGAGGGACAGCTCTGACCTTTCATTGTTCCCTGCCACATCCCCTCCTGCCCCTTGCCTACTGTACCTCACTCTGATGCTTCTGCAGTCTCCAGGGTTGACTCAAACTTAGGCTACAGAAAAGAGTGAAGGGCGAAAAGGCTCCAGGCTAGACTCCTGTCTGAGATCCAGACCCTAGGTCTGTCACTTGTGAGTACCCCATTCTAGGGTCCACAGGTCACCCCCTTGAGGTGACATCTTCAGCACCAAGGCCTGATGGCAGCTGGCTCTTGGGCAGCCATGCTATCTCCCAGCTTGTCAGTGTTCCGATGGTTCGGCCCTCTATGGTTACTGTGCTCACTGTTTTCTGGGCAGTTCTTTTCCAGATGGCTCCAGCCCCGCTTCCTCCTGTGTGCCCCTTCCCTGAGAAGATGGGAATCGTGCTCCATAAAGCACAGGGAGTCGCTGCTCCTACCCCACAGTCACTCTCCTCTCTGGCCTTTCTGGCTACACTGTATCAGTACCAAAAGTCTAACACAAAAGCTCAACTGTCCCTAAGACTTCTTAGACTCCTCTGTGCTGGCGGAGGAATGGGCATTCGATGCTCTTCCTTGTGACCAGTGCCTCCCCTGCCTTCTGAAGTGGTCCTAGCTTCCCTCTTCAGCCAATCTAGGAAGAAAGTGAAACACGGCAGCACATTCTGCAAAGACTCCTTTACGGTGTCCCTGCTTCAGCTCCCACTCATGCAGCCTTGACATTTTGATCACAGGACTCTATGTCCAGTGTGCGAGTGCCCAGCACTGCCATCTCCCTTCACAGTGGGTGAGCTGGAAGGCCCACAGCCCACACAACTTAGATATATTGCAAACAGTTACTGAGAACTCAGCGTGTCAGTAGTTTTGATTGTTCCCATCTGCCTGTCTTCAAGGAAAAGACTGGGGAGGATCCAGGATATAAAGCTGACTGTCCCCTCCGTGAGGTGTTATTTACTGACCCAAAATTCTTTCCCATCTGGTTTTCTCCCATGCCTGTCTCTCTTGCTGCTGTCACCTCAGATAAGCATGTCACATATCTCTTTCTAGATAGTGGCTTTCTTAACAGTGGCTGATAAGGATACCGCCAGGGCACAGGTTCTCCAATGAGACAGAGGGAGACCCCTGTGCACCCACTACCGACATCCTCGTGCTGAGTGGTGATGTGGACAGATGCTGGTGGCCTGGCTCTATTATGAGGGTTGATGGGGTCATAAGGAATGAAGTCCAAATGTAAGTGACTGTACCGAATCAGCACTCTATGTTTGCTATTTATTAGGAGTGTTGGTGTCACTTCAAATAAAGCTGCTGTCTTGTCCTTGGGAGGAAGTGAGCCTCTGCCTGGTCTCTCACAGCATCGGGGAAGAGTAGGGAAAAACTGGTCCTCTTTGTGGGCTAGAAAGCTTGAGCCTAAAATCAAGATGCTTATACCAAACATTCAGCATCAGGGGAAGCATCCCTCCCACCAAACGTGATCCACTCTGGTTTCCCTGTTTCTTTTGCTTCTTTCCAGCACGTCAACTGCAGACTTCACTTCCCTGATGCAGAACAAGGTATGACCGTGGCTTCCTCCACCCTGGGCTTTGAGGTCACCTGGAATTCCCTCAGATAACTCAGGCTCCAAGAGGTCTGGTAGCTTTTCCTGCACCAGCAGCCTCAAGGATTAAGAGTCTTAATCCTTAATCCTTGGAGAGGTCTCTTAATCCAAGGAGAGGTCTCGCTCAGGCTGCACACAAGAAGGGCGGGCGGGGCTTCTGACAAGGGTGAGTGGTTTGGAACCCCAGCTCAGAGTCCTGGCCACCTAAGTGAGACAATAGAAGCTAAATAAGGAAAATACAAGTTAATTTTTATTGTGGGAACCAAAACTCAGGCGTCCCCATTTGAAAAGCCACATGTCCAACCTCAGAATTTTATTCCTTTTACTCTGGGATTCCATTTGCAAAATCTTAATATTAAAGAGAGTAGGGTTTATCCATATGCTGTACTCAGACTCACTCTCTCTCCCTAAAGGTTTTACAAGAAGTATAAATGGCCAATTAAACTGTGTGAGTTTTCTTGAGGTTTTGTTTTTAATCGTGTGTGTGTGTGTGTGTGTGTGTGTGTGTGTGTGTGTGTGTGTGT